GGGGATTTAAATAATCTAAAATAAATTCATTTTAAGATGTAACTTAAAAAACGGCCAAGAGTAAAACACAAATGCATCTTACTTTCACTAGAAAAAAAATTGGATTTTTGAAGATTTTAATTTCTTCATTTCTCTTTCCGACATAAATATCATATGGTCAACACTTAGCGATTTTTTTTTCAACCGTGGAATTTATTTCAAGATGGTTTCATATAATAAAAAAAAGGAATTATATTTTTTGAAAATACCGATATTTGCTATTCACAAGCTCGGAATTTATCAAAATGAGCATTTTAATTTTAAAGTACAATATTAAATACCGAAATTAAGTTTGAAACTGATTTTGATAAGAGGATACTTCTGGCTTCATTTCAGAATGTTTTCTTTTATACTCAACTACATAAACAAACTCAGATATCGATATTCATGGAAGAAAAAGTGAAACTATTCTATAAAAATAAATTAGCTTCACTATAAATATTTCATTCGTGTTTGCGTAAAGTCACTGTAAATATCAAATTTTAATTAGATGAAAAATTACTCTTAGCTAAAAAAAAAAAAAGTGCTAAGAAATCGTGAATGGAGAGTTATTCAGTTATTGATATATTTCTTTCAAGGTTTATGATATTTGATCAAAATATTTCAACAGAAATGTCTCATATTTGAATGTGTCGTCAGTTGTAAACAGAGGAGCATAACGAATTTCATTCATGATGTATTTTCATACTCATCTTTTTATTGAGTTAGTTCTGAGATCTATGTCCTGTTACATGATGTAGATCTAAACTGATAAAATTCATCTTTCTTAAGGCAGATAAATTAGGATTTTTTTTCTCCAATTTGTTATAATGAATTGAAAATTTATAATAAATTTTTAGCATGAGTAAGAGTACCATATGTATCCTTTGTTGAGAAAAGTTCAGGCCCATGTTTTTAGTTTTAGTGGTAATGTGAACAAACCAAAACCAACCTATAGGCTGTATTTTCAAATATCTTACAACGAAACATGATAAAATTTTGCAGTTATTATAAACTGTCATATAAAAAAAAATTAGAATTAAACCTCAAAATTACTAATTTTCAAATAAAATTGTATTACAAACACCAAAAAATAAATAACAACAAACTGTTCAATGTAGAAAGATGAACAAATTAACATATACTATGATAGCCATGAATTAAGTTTTAATATCTATAAAACAAATCTCTAAACTTAATAAAACTTAAATGAGCCCTAGAAATGTGTTGTCAACGCGTGCCCACATAGGACAGGGTTGGTTGAATACCTTAAAGTCAAAAATATTTAGACAATGTAAAGGCCAGCCAAATCTCCAGACTTAAATCTCATAATGCATGCCTGGGATAAACTTGACACGAAATAAATCATGTTCACTTATAATTAAATAACACTTTCATTATTAAAATACTACAGTTGAACTTTTATATTGCGTATTTTTTTAATCCCGAAAAATTATTCCATTCGCTTTTCTATAAAAAAAAAAAACTTTTTTTAGTCAAATACTTATAAGATGTCCTCCTATTTCACGAAATATTTTTGATAACGAAAAATTTTTTTCTCTCCAGATTTCTAGAGTTTTTTTGAGATCCAATTCTTAAAAACCTTTTTTAAAAAATTTTATCAATCATTTCTTGCTGCCCTAATAAGAGATTGTTAGAAGAAGAAACTGCCTGAATTACGGGGAACAAAGTTTTTGTTGCATTTATACGAATACTTGATCGTACCTGATTCCGGTGTGCCAATTTCAAAACGGAAATTATTTTTGCTTCTTTTTACAGATTTTTTTAAAATGACATTTTTAACCAATTTTTTAAACAAAATATACAAGTTTTATAAAGTTATATATAAAAGGGGGTCACTTAAATGAAGTAACAAACTTCAAGGAGGGTTGTACATAACAAGGATTAAAACTGCGTCAGAACCCATGTGAAAGTAACTTAAGATCTGTTAAAAAAAAAATTTTATGCAACAAGAAACAAATCGAAAAAATATTTCCTAATGTTTTCTACTTGTAAAGAAGTAGACATGTAAGTTGTGTGCATCGATAAAAATACCTTCTCATGAAATAGCAAAGACCTTATCTTTTTAATGATTTCAAAATATCTATTATATATAATTCTCTTACGTGGCTCCCAAATTTTGGCTGTATTTCTTTTCTGCCGGTGGCAACGTTTCCTTTGTTTCGAAAACACCAAAGCATTCTGCCTTTTAATGATGTGTTTCTGATCTAATATATATAATTCTCTTACGTGACTCCCAAATTTTGGCTGAAGTACTTTGTACAACTAAATAAGATTCTTTTCACAACAGTTAAATATTTACTTTATTTTCTTCATTCATAGAGAAAACAGTCGGCAAAGAATTCTGTTAGGTTAAAAAACATTTCACCAAAAAAATAATGAATTCTAAAAGAAATAAAAATAGACAACTTAAAAAATAAAAATGCTGTTGCTAGCCATAGAATTTTTTGAAAGTTAACTTAGCAACATAAATCAAAATGACATAAAAGCGAAACTAGATCAAAATTATGATACCTGAGCGCTTGACGTAACAAATCCTTCAATTCTAAAAGTGTTGTATCGCCAAATGCCCAAATTAACAATTGTGTTGTTAAAGAAATTCTGTAAACAGATTTAAATAAACAACCTACTTCCACAACTGCTTCTTGAAGAACTTGGTTCATTGATTAAAAATATTGTTTTAATTTTACAGTACTAACTTTACTTCTACTTTCATTATTGCTATGACCCTCTTTCATTACATTTTACAACTTCATGCTAAATTTGAG